AGCCTCTGAACTTTTTGAAGACCGTATTGTTCTCAGACAAATCAAGATTTGCTCAAGTTTCGGACAGTGGAAGGATATGAGTCTGGAGAATGTCTCACCAAGAGTTTTGGCTCAACAGATTGCAGCTAACTGTGAAGCATGGTGGTTTCAGCGTGATGATTTGGGGAGCTGTTTGGGTTTGTGGGAGATCGAGCTTAGTGGAGTACGTTGGCAACATAAATTTTGCGAAATACGTCGAAATATTGGAGGAAGGACTCTTGCCACTTTATTCCTCGGGTTTCGTGGACAAGAACACAACGTTGTTCCATGAAGATGGAGCACCGTGTCACACTGCTAGAAACACCCAAAAGTGGCAGGAAGAAAATGGTATCCAGAAGTTGCCCTGGCCGAGCCAATCTCCTGACACGAACCCCATCGAAAACCTCTGGGTTATACTCGACCGGCAAGTCAAGAAACAACCAAAGAAATCAACTTCGAAGAGCGATCTACTCCAAGTTTTGAAGCAAGAGTGGGAAAAAATCCCACAATCTAAAATTGACGAGATGATTCTCACGATGCCCCAAATGACCAACGAACTCCACGAAGCGAAAGGAAGATCTGCTAGATATTAATTAAATTATAAATATATCAATTCATGTGAATATGAAAAGATGGTGTCTATTTACTTGTGACCATGCTGTGTATATGTATATTTATATGCAAACCTACACACTGATAGCTTGTTTGAGGTAATGAAAAACTAACTTCCCATAGACGTATATACTGTGTTGAAATGATCATTTTCTGTGTCTCTCCATTATTCTGTAAACAATAAATTGGTATCTAAAAATCAGAATTTAACCTCCAAACTAGGAAAATAGATAAAACAGATCACAATCTTGTATTTGCAACTTTTTTTTGTGCATTGTATTTTCTTAGAAGATTCAATTTTACTTTTCAATTGGTCAAATTTAATGAAGGCTTTTACCACTCATAATAGTTTTAGGAATGGGTGAATGAGTTCACAAAGAATGCATAATACAATACAGGGAAATTTCATTGCATAACTGATGCTTTATTTGAAAGTAGCGAACTAAAGTTTGTAAATATTTGTTACAACAATAATGTTTGGTTGGTAAAGACTCCAGAAACCAAGCAGTTTTAACCATTTGGTTGTTGGTTTCTAATTTTTTAGAAGGTAACATTGCTCTCATCAAAAATAAAACTAATGGATGATACAGCTAAAAGTTTCAGAAAAATAAGTTGTTTTTTCTAATATTTCTAATAAAAAATTCGTTATTTAATGTGGTTATATGCATTCAGACTCTGAATAGTTAACCTACAAGGTGATTTTTATATAAAGTGTAAAAAATATTATTTATTAACCTACAGTTTTCACATTTTATTTGCATAATGTCTAGAACCTCCTAAATGAATATCAAAAGTTTTTTAATGTAAATGTTTATACTGTATTTTTTCCTTTTTCTCTACTGTATCACTAACTCTACCTATTATCATCAAGGTACAGTGCAATGAAATGTATAAAATTAAGAAATGGAAATATGTACATACCTTTTCGCTCTTCCTAGAAGTCTTTTGAAACTATTTTTTTTAATATGCATAATTTCACATCTTTATCTTTTCTTTTATAGTTTATTTTTAATTTTTGTTTTCCAATTCTTTGTCTTTTATTATTTATGCCAATACGTCAACTGGTGCACGTGGGGCTTTATTATTATTATACAGTGACTCCAGTACAGAGACTAGCTTCACTAATGCTTTTCACACATGAATGATGCCATCTTGTTTATACACTTTCACAATCCAGGCCCCAACAAATTAAACTTATAAAAATTATTGAACCTATCAAGTATGATTTTTAAAACACAAATAATACATAATTAACTAAAATGTAAAAGTAAAACCTAAATACAATTTAACTGTCAGTATAACAATAGCATATTTAGGTAAAAAAAAACACCGTAAGTGCTATAGTCAATCAAGCAGACAACAGTACTAACAGCAGTTACATCTACTGCAATCCGAAAACTGTGCGGCAAGTTCAAAATGACCATTGGTGCAGCATAGTGTAAACCAAATTCTTTCTAACGGATTTGTACACTTGTTTCAACTAACTACATGTACATTGTAGATCTCAAGACAAAGTATAGAAGGTGGGTGTGGCACCTGTCAAGGGTTGCAAAATTTATTTCTCTTTTCCCAGTGAATACAGTTGTGAGACTTTGTATCTTACGTGTTAATAGGCCATCTAGACCTCCATTCGTGTACATGGCAAGCTTGTGTGTTTCCACACAGTGACTCCTAAAGTGGAGATTTTTCATAGTGCTCGGATCACATGACATGAAAAATGTAGCTTAAGTTGTTGTTCTTTGAAAAAAATGAATTAAAACTTAGATAACATAAAAATTCAAGTTATAACATACATTATAATGTTGATTTCATTTTCATATATTGATAGTAAAGGGATTTGATTGACTTTTGAATGTAACACAGTACCATATGCAGAAAGGAATTTAAGTTTAAAAGTGGCCCTGACAGCCTAAGGGTTAAAAGGGTGAAAGTGATCCCCACTCAATTGTCTGATGAGCTTCACCTGTTTGTTTAATTTTTAAAGCCAAAAATGAGGAAACATTTGAAGGAATAAGCTATATTTAATGTTAGTTTAAGAATTCATATAAATATCTGTTCTTGAAAAACTAGTACACTTCAAATCATTAAGAAATATATATTTGGGAAGAAAATTAAGTATTATTTCATGAAATAAATTGAGGGAAATGAGATCTGATGGAAGGGTTTTTCACCACATTAGGGCATTGATTATTTATGCTGGAATTTTAATAATTTATGTTAAATTCAATATTTTAAATAATTCAAAGTTATTATGTGGAGAGTGATATGAAATACCAAAAGTTATTTTTTCCTTAAAACTGAAAATGAACAGACTAAAATTAAACTGATTGCATATCTGTATATAAGGAAAACAACAACTTTATTATTTCTTGAGGGCTTCATTTGAATAGACCAGCTGTTTATTACTGCTAAGCACCTGAGACTTTTATTATTTTACTAAAATATACTGTTATTATCTTTCTTTATCATTGTTTTACAAAAAATACATTTAGTCTCATTATTATATTTTATTTGTTTAAGATTGAAAAGAAACCAGTACCAACAGAAACTGTAACAATGGAAAAAAAATATGGCTTTGTTGAAGAAACAGGACTAGGTAAGTGTAAATACATGAAACATTTCATGAATTAAGTAGATTAAAAATAAATTAGTTCATCAAAGAAAGATGATTCTGGATTTTATTTCAAATTAGTGTATCTCCTTAAAGACTTATTTATAACTTGTATATTAAAAACTTAATGATACAAGACTTTAACATTGATGGTCACTAAAAAGGCAGTTTTTGATTTGAGATTTTAAAATGTTTTCAAAAAATAGTACATTCTGTATTTTTATGGCAATCCAATCACTTATCAGACTGTTTATTCAGACAGCTTTTTACAACCTGATCTAAAGTAAAGAAAGATTTAAAATTTTTTGATATTATCATACAAAGACCAAAATCGGGTTGTTGCTTTAATTTCATTCAAACTTCATTTCTACATTGTGGGAATTATTATTCTCCAAGATGCATTATGAGATATTGTTTTTTGAATAGTATACTTTATGTAATGGCATTTTAAGGTAAAAATCAGTCAAGACTCAATTGTTACTTACTTAGCATACCCAGAGCTTATTCACCGTGCCGACCTTCGACTGTCTGATATTGCTCAGGGTTTAGGTGAAGACTGGGTTCAGCTGGCTGACCAACTTGGTATTCCTGAATCTGATGTAATTAGTATCAGGAAGGAATACCCTAATGATACATCTCAACAAGCTTTGATGATGCTTCGTTTGTGGATCCATCGATCAGATTTACAGGCAACAGGTTAAAAGTCCTTCTATTTACTCTACTTTGGCTATTCCTAATGTAAAATTATAACCCAAATGTAAGTTGTAACAAGAAAATGTGTTTGTTATAAAAAAAAAACTTGTTTTTACTCTCAGTTTGATGAATAACATCCATTTCAAAATGCCAGTGAGACAAAGTTTATAGCAATATAATTTTTAAATATTTTGAAAATAAAATTTCACATTAAATAGATTTTCAGAAAACATTCTCTAGGTTTTCTGTTGAAATTAAACGTTTTACTAACAA